AAATCCTGCCTGTGGAGTATGAGAAGGTCGGTCTAGAGGCGTGTTTGAGAAAATGCCTAAAACAGCAAGGGTGGGGTAGGAACTGAATTCGTATTTCAAGGGCAGGGATTAAGAAGTAATCATTCTAATTTGCCACCAGATAGATCAGGTAAGGAAGGAATTTCCTCACAGGTCTGAGACTTGGCCTTCCCGGCAGTTTCTGTAAAAGAGATCCTGCCTCTTCCCCTAGGAGACAAAACCTGCTGGAGACCAGACATGGAGACTGACTTAGTCCCAAAATTCTTTCAAGTTTTCCTTAGCTCCAACAAACTCCAGCTTGCCTGGCCTTTGGGAGCCCATGTGACCTTTTGAGGAACACAGGAACTCATATTCAGTGCTCAAGAACGAGGGGATGCCCCTGGAGGAGACAGAAATCCTGGGGCTAGAGGCAAACACAGGCATGGATGTTTGCTTTGGTAAATGTGTGCTCTTTATTGTGGTATAACAGGTTACTTACCTACCCTTCAAAGAATCTGATAATTCAAAACACCAAGTGCATCATCTCATGGGCAATTCTGGGCACCAGGAATCTGAAGATAGCTAAGCTGAGGCATGACTTTGGATCCTTCCTCAGGCTATAGTCCTGAGCCACTGTCACCCAAACACTCGAGACTGGAAGAGTCCCGTACAGAATAGCTCATTCACGCCACACTCAGATCCTGCTTCCTGACTTAAGTAAGGAAAGACTTAGGATTCACACATTCCAACAGTGTCACCAAGACCCAAAGGGGCTGCTCTGCTCATGCTGGTTTAAGGAACGAATATCATTGAACATCTGGATCATTCTTGCAATCCCATCTCTTTTTGTGGATATCCTGTTTGCCTTTCTACTCATTTTTGGGAGAGTGGGAGTCTCAAGGCCGAGAAAGTCCAAGTGGCAGGAGACACCTAAATACAGACGGGGTGCCCTTTCCTTCTGTCGACTTTCCCTCAGCATCTGTGAGTACCCATCCACCATCATCCTACTTACGTACTGAATCTGTGTGGTAATGGACTCTGGGGGTGGAAGGTCAGGGGTTGCATCTGCCTGGAAAAGACTCCCTGGGGGCAGTCTGTTGAGGTGAAGACCTGGGTTCTAAGAAGGAGAAAATGTTCTAAGACAACATGCGTAGAAAAATGGATGGTGTTTGCTACAGGCTGAGAGGAGCAGGGATTTCAGTTTAAGAGATGGAATTAACAAGATTTCCAAGAATCTCAATTGCGGGGCCTTTGTGTTTGTTTACTTTTGCAGCACGCCTTGGGAACTGGGCTGGGAGAGAGAAGCTGTGTTGTGAGCTATCTCAAGTTCCATCAATAGGTCAAGCTGCCCACACTGGAGAGGCTGCCTGTAAAATCTCAGCTCGGGAGAATTTGCCTCCGTGTTTCCTCTCCTTGTACTCAATGGGAATTGAGCTAAATGCAAGCTTGGGTAAGAAATAAGTGCCCCTGCCCCCTGTTCATTGTGAATGCCCAGGCTGTTAGACAAAAATAGCACACAGGAAACAGTATTGCAAAGGTCAATTCTTCTAGAAAGGAAGGGACAACACGCCATCTATCTGAAATTTTAATGAGTGGATTCTGGCCTCTGACCCCACACCATTACCTAACAATCCAGTATTGAATGCCATGTCGGCTTCCATTTCCTGTGAATGAGGAGGCAGAATTCCCATCTGAAGGCAGACCATCTGCCGGAGGCCAGCATAGCTCTCTGCCTAGCTGGCTGCAGTTGATGTACGTGAAGTTTTTATGGATGGAGTGGCAGCCAGGCCCATGCTTCACAGCCACGGTGAATCAGAAGGCTGGGAAGGCAGGACTTGGGGCTAGCGTTTTCTATTTCTCTTTCTGCAATGAGTGTTTGGTTCCGTTCAAACACCAAGGACAGTCTTGGGGCACATTTGGCCTTTTGGAGACGGCTCTGCCAACTTCTGCTTTAAAAGAAGAGAAGTTTATTATTATTATTTCTTACAGTAAAGAGCAACAGCCGAGTACTAAACAGCAAAAAGAAACCAATATTAAGTGAGTGTATAAAGCCCCCCAGCACACATGAACAAACCATTTCTGTGATCAGTGGTTTGGGCTAACCGCTGAGTCCGTCCTAAAGCCATTATGTCCTGGTGACCTCAAAGGAAATAACTTCCAAGCCCTTTGCTTGGTGTTTCTGCTCTACAGAACAGCAGGATTACATAAACCTGCCCTTCTAGTTCTTTCTCAGCAGAGCCCAAATGTAAAAGGCCCAAAGGAGGGATGTCTTTCCTGAGTACCCTGGGGAGCAGGTGGGTGGGAAGTCTTTTGCATCAGGTCCTCAGGGCTAATACCTCCCGAGAGGTATGACTCAGCCTACACTAAGAGGGAAGGTTGGAACCCAGGGCCAAAGGCAAAGGCTGCACCAAAGACAGATCCGAGACTGGGTCTTCACTGTGTGGCTGCAGGAAAGCCACCTGGCATGTCTGTACATTGGAGTGATATGTAGGTGACATCCTCTTTCACAGATTATAAAGACCATACGTCATGCATAATAGTGTAGTAATCTAATGTGGTTATCATGTACACACTGCCCAGTCACGGTGGTTTGCTGGATTGTACTCGAAGACTGAAAAGCCTGCCAGACATGGCTGTGCACACCTTTAACCCCAGCACTTGCAAGGCAGAGGTAAGCAGATCCTGGTGAGTTCAGTGCCAGTGTGGTCTATGTAGTGAGTTCCAGGACAGCCGTGGGGCTGTATAGCGAAACACCATTACAACAGAACGAAGAGCTAGAACAGCCTTTGAAGGTGAGAGCTGTTTCTCTACAGCTTGATTTCCCAAGTCCCTAATGTAACATTGTCAATTCTGAATGAACACAAGGGCGTACACACAAGGCTGATTTTTCAAATGGTGCCTGTTCCCGGGCCTTGTTTCCAACTTGAGCATGAAGTCACTCACTTTGTAAGGTCCTGTGTCACAAGTGAAGTGAGAGACTGCCACGGACCACTGTTGGTGGAAGGCAGCCTTCCAGGAGAGAGGAAGGAACCCAGCCTTCACCAACCCCATTCCCCTCGTGCTGGGTAACTGTTCCAGCACAGGGGAGCTTGTAGGATCAGAACACAATCTCTAGGGTTGGCCTGAACCTCAGCTGCTGTATAGTCTTGTTGGAGCTTGGCAAATTGCCAGGTTCTGAGTTCGCTGGCCTGGATTGGGATGACATCCCTCTAAGTCCTTTATAATTCTAAAAAGTACCCAGGTTAGGAACCATGGTGGCTACCATTCTCCAGACGCCTTTTCCCTCTGCCCTGCTCCTGCTGCTTCTCACATAGCTCTCAGGAGGAAAACTGTCAGGCAGAAGATGGGGGTATGGCTAAGGCTCTGAGGTGAAGTGAGACCCTCCATCCCTTTATTGACACTTGCCTAGCGGTGCTCTCAGGGGGAGCAGCTCATTCTGAAGACATAAGGGGATGTCCCTGACCAGCCTTGCCCACCACCTTTTTTTTTTTTTTTTGAAGGGAGCAGAATCCCACTTTATAGCCCAGGGTGACCCAGAACTCACGGTGTAACCCCTTGTGTTAGCCTCAAACTTGCAGTAATCCTCCTGTGTCAGGCCCCCAAATGTTAGGATTCAGGGAACAAATCACTAAACGTGGTTGGAGTCTGGATCTCAAACCAGCTTCTTAAGATCACTGAAGTTGGAAGGTATCTGAACCTTTTCCTGGGTCTAGACCACCAAAAGGAAATTCTGGCCAATCTATCACTGTCAAAAACAGAGCATTACACCAAAAGCACTGTGCCTAAGTGCCTGGTGCTGTAAATTCAAACTTATTCCTCAGGTGTGAGGTGCGGGTTTGGGGCCTTGGAACCCGGCAGCCAGAGTCTGCCTGGCTGTGCACCACATCCCAGACCTGTTCCTCGCGTCCCGCCGTTTCCCTGCTAGCCAGCAGCTAACAGCCCAGTCATCCTTTCCAGCCTCAGTCTGGAAAGCTGGACCCCGCCGCCGCGTGTGCTCTTGGCTTCCCGCGCCCAGGCCCCGCGGCCACATCATCCTGAGGCTGGGAAGTGTGCGTTCCCGCGCCGTCACCGCCACGGAGCCGGGTCTACGCGGGGCAGCCCGCGCTCGCTCGGTGTCCGGGGACATCCTACATCCAGCCGCCCCCGGGAGTGGGCGGGACTGGGGCGGGCAGGGACCCCGGAGCGGTCTCTAGGACCCGCGGGACGCCGCTGGCGGGCGGGGTGCGGGGGAGACGCTAATTTGTTCCGTGGTAATGAGAACGGCGACTGCTGGCCGCGGATCCATTGCACAGGCCCGCCCTCAGATCGCTGGTCCCCGGCGCCAACTCGGACAGGCTGCTCATTTATTGCAACGGTCAAGGGCGGCTCGTGCCAGAGTAGCGCGCGCGCGCACGCACACACACGGGGAGGGGAGAAAGTTTTTTTTTGAAAAATGAAAGGCTAGACTCTCTGCTCCGCGGCCGGGGCGCTGCGTGAGGGGGTCGCGGCAGACTCAGGGCAGTAGGACGTCCCTAGGCTCTGCGCCCGCGTGGGATGCTGCAGCGCTGGCTGCTGGACCCCCGAAGCAGCTGCACGCCAGCCCGGCGACAATGGCAGAGCGCC